TGGATGGATGGGTGGATGTATATATGAAAGGGTAGATGGATGCATGGGTGGATGGATGGGTGGATGTATATATGAAAGGGTAGATGGATGCATGGATGGATGGATGGGCAGATGTATATATGAAAGGGTAGATGGATGCACGGGTAGATGGATGGGTGGATGTATATATGAAAGGGTAGGTGGATGTATGGGTGGATAAATGGACAGATGGGTAGGGGAGTAGTATAATACATTGTCATATATGTGTGTTCACTCTGCCTTATCTTTGAGATTGCTTTGATAACCAAAATCCTGATTCTAGATTTTCCAGTAATTTATCATGATATTACGAGGCACGTATTGCCTCTTTCCCTCTACACACACATTTTAAAATTCTTAATTAAGGCCTTTAATCAATTAAGGTTCGGTGACTGAGATTTTACTGTAGTCACTGTAATATCTGATTCTTATAAAACCTCAAAGATACACAGGTTAACTCTTAACAATATTCTAAAAAGTCTAAAAGAAATCATGTTAAATTTTAGACTAACTAGCCTAAGTAAAACATAAAGTACCTTTACTTTTGACTGAGACTATCATTGGTTAATTTCTACCTACAGGCTATGACATGATTGATTAATTTTAAAAAATAACAGGATAAAAATAATTATTATGATTATCAGGATGCAGTTTATTACACAGAGGTTCCTCAACTTTTCCTAATAAAGTGCTACTTATAATTTTCTCTTATACCCTTGAAGGTAAAAGTTAAGTACAAAAGTCAAGAAAATAGCTATAAATTATGTAGTCTCATCTTTCCATGAAACTGCCTAGAACAATGGAGAAGGCACATCGGAAACAACCAGGTACACGTTTACAACATATCAAATGAGCATCCTGTTACAGAAATTGATTTTGAATGAAATTTTTAAATGAAAGAACAATTAGGATTAGTTTTCCCTAAAGAGTTAATTTGTATTATGTGGGTCATTACTTATATATATGATCTTATTTATCTTGCAGGTTCACAAAATTCAATGTATCCATACTGTTTCCTCATTAGCAAATATCTAATGATACTTGACTACTTAAATAAATTTATCTAGTCAGTCATTCATAAATCTGAATAACAACTACCAACCCTAACTCAAGAAAAATTTAGGGAAAGCATTTAAGTTTGATTCATGATTTAGGAAAAAAAATTAAGATAATATTATCAAAAATGTGAAGAAAATTCACAATGCAAAAATAAAAAACCCTAGCTGAGAATCTGTAGGTTAATATCTATAACTCTGTGCCTAAAATAGAGTCTGGAACATAGTCCACACACTTTGTAAATATACAGGTTGTCCATAAAGTTCACGTGCAATTTACTATGTTAAACTATTTCAAACTGCACATAAACTTTATGTCCACTCTGTATACGGAACTGAACTAAAGAAGGCAAGACAGATGCTTCCTGCACTGTGGAACTGCAGTTAGGTTGATGTTGTGCCCAGCAATTGGCCAAGACAAGAGTATAGCATACAGGAAAGAGAAAAGACATGTCAGATTAGATGAGCCAAGAAGAAGGTCTAGAAGTAACAAAACAAAAAGGGAAAATTAGCCTATATTCCAAATTGTCAAATACTCAGATAGTAATGAGATGAACCATCTAGAAAGGCCCATATTGATCAGACCTTTCATATAAACTCCTACTTTATAGAAGGATTTTGAAGTTTTTAAAACAAGCACATTACAGATACCTAACAGATGTTAGTAACCAACTAAGATTCCAATGTGCTGAAAGAAAAATTCTTCTTTGACATGAGAAATATATTTCAGAAATGTAATCAGATCATATAAGGTAGTACTTGACAATAAGTGATTCATAAACTATATCCATCAGAATCACGTGTGGCATTAGTAAAATGCATTACTTCCAAATTCCACTGAAGACCTACAAAATCAGAATGGGGGAACTGGGAAGATAGAGAGGAAGCACTAAGAATCTGCATTTGTAACAAGATCCCGAGTGATACACATCAAAATTTAAGGACTGTAATATAAAATTTCTCGAATTATATGTGATAGTAAGAGAAAGACTGTATCTTATCTACTCCTGATTTTCCATTCTTTCTGTTGTTTCTTTATTTCCTAATGACTTGTGTTGCTATACTGTTACTCTCATTAGTTAGCCATTTTTCCCAACTCTAATATAGTATTTAGAACATTCTTTTTTCCTATTCTCTAGTGCATAGCTCACTCTCAAACTAGAATAACAATAGCTTTCTCTGTATTGGAAATAATCATCTACACTATATATGTAAAACCAATTCTGACTTAAATAAATACCAAACCAATTTGGTTACCAATGAACTATTACTTAGATCTAGTAATTCAACATTAATAAACAATTAATAGTAATCAAAGAGATCAGAACTGCATCTGCTCTCTGCTCATTGATAATACCTTGCCTACTTGAGTAGTTTTTCTCAAGGTCATGTTGTAAGAGTCTACCAGGGAATGATGATGTTTCTTTATTTAGCCTGAATTCAACCTGAAAAACATTATATAAGAAAAAATATTAGAAAAATTTAATAGTAAGCAATGAAGATATTTACAAAATAATATACAATAACTGATACATGCTACAAACAGATAAACCTTGAAAACATCACACCAAGTGAAAGATGCCAGGCACAAAAGGCCACATACTGTATGTATATGATTCCATTTATATGAAATATCCAGAGATACTTCAATAGGCAAACCCATAGACACAGAAAGCATATTTATGGCTTCCATGAATTTAGGGGAAGTGGGGAATGAGGAATAATTGCATAGTGGGTTAAAAGGATTCCATTTGGAGTGATGAAAGAGTTCTGGAACTAGATAGAGCTGTACAATATTGTGAATGTACTTAATGCCACTAAATTAAAATTGTATACTTTACAATGGTTTAAACAGTAAGTTTAATGTTATGTTGTATTTTACCCACAAAATCAGAGTCAATTTCATGAGGTCAGCTGACAGCATACTCCAACCTGAGGCAGTTCCAATGCTTCCACACCCTCACTACAAATTCAATAATTAAAAGAATCATTTGCTCCATAAGAAACAAAAAGCAGGCTCGGCGCCTATAGCTCAACCGGCTAAGGCGCCAGCCACGTACACCTAAGG